CTCCGGCGATCCTTCCGTCTCAGCCTTCCAAGTAGCTGGAACTACAGGCGCGTGCTACCACACTCGGCTAATTTTTTGTTTTATTGTAGAGATGAGGTCTCGCCAGGTTGCCCAGGCAGGTCTTGAACCCGCGGGCTTAGGCAAGTCACTCACCTCCGCCTCCCAAGGCGTGGGATTACAGACTGAGCCACCGAGCCCAGCTCACTTTTTTTTTTAGTTGGAATCTCACTCTGTCGCCCAGGCTAGAGTGCAGTGGCATCCTCACAGCCACCCCAGCGCTGACCCACTGGGCTCTGGCGATCCTTCCACCTCAGCCTTCCAAGTAGCCAGAACTAGAGGCACGCAATACCATGCCCAGCTATTTTATTTATTTATTTATTGTAGAGATGAGGTCTCATCAAGTTGCCCAGGCTGGTTTTGAACCTGAGGGCTCTGGTAATTCACTTGCCTTGGCCTCCCAAAGTGCTGGGATTACAGGCTGAGCCACTGAGCCCAGCCTGTAAGAGTATTTTATATATTCTGGATACAATTTCTGAACAGATATGTGATTTGCAAAATACTCTCCCATTCTGTGAGTCTTTTTATTTTCTTCACTTTCCTTTTCATTTTCTTTTGTCCCTTGAAGCACAAAACTTTTTAAATTTTGATGAAGCCAAATTTGTTTTTTTCTATGGTAACTTGTGTTCCTGGTGCTTTAAGAAGGCTTTGCCTAACCCAGAGGGACAAAAACTTCTGTGTTTTCTTCTAAGAATTGTATAGTTTTAGCTCACACTTGGGCCCATGAACCATTTTGAGTTCATTTTTACGTAGGGGGTTAGGTAAGGGTTCAACTTCATTCTTTTGCATGTGGCTATCCAGTTCCAGCACCATTTGCTTAAAAGACAAACTGTACTTCATTTCTGAAGCACACAATTATAATTGCACAATTAGTTATTTGGCTCCCAGTGAGACCATAAGTAACAACAGGGCAGGGACAATGTAGTCTTGTTCACTTCTGTATCTCCAGCACTTAGCTTGATGCCTAGCTCCAAATGTGTACTCAAATACTGGTTGAATTAATCATTTTGTTATTAGTTATAACTCTACGACTCTATAGGTATTATCATATCCATGTTACTTAGAAGTTAGGATACCCCACATCTTTAAAATAAAAAATAAAAAAACGGTCGCATACATTAAAGAAAGAAAAAAGAAGTTAGGATTTGTCCCCTTGTTTTGCTGGTTCTCAATGTTTGACTCATGTCCTCCTTCCTCACTAAGGGGCACATGAGTTTCTCCAGGACAGGTATTGCTTCTCTTTCTTCCTTCTGTTGCTACCCTCTCTCCCCCAAATTAAGCTCTGGACCAGGCACAGAGCACAGGCTGGAAAAATGGGTGACTGAGGGACAAGCAGATAATCAATCAGTGCCTTCTATGTCCAGGTCCCTACCTATCTCCAGTCTCTCCTGGCCTCAGACTGTGATCCAACAACACCAAAATATAATTTTCCCCTACCCCCACATCCCCCAGTCCACTCATGCTGTCCTTTCTGCCTGGAATGACATCCCCTTCTATTGACTAACCTGTACTGATATTTTAGACCCTGATCAGGTACCATTTCCTCAAGAAGGCTTTCTGTGATCCCCCAGGCTGTTTAGGGCTATCTTCTGTGCTCCTGCAACTCTTGTAGTCTCCAGTCTCACAGGACTGATCACACTATCGCCACAATTTACCCCCAACTGTCATCAAGGGCGGGAATCATGCCTGGTCAAATGTCCTCTGTGCCAAGCAGAGGACCCAGAATAGGGCAGATGCTCAGTAAATGTCTGTCAAATGAACAAACGAATCCTGGAGAGAAAGGGCAGGCAGTCTGAGGTTCCAGACTGATACCAGCAGGTTTCCTTCACTATAGACTGTATAGGCTGACGAATGACTTGAGTTAAACACTCAGCAGAGAGGCCCAGCTGCCCGCTGGGAGAAGGGAAGTAGGGAAGGTGTTGTCTTTCACCCAGTTTGTTCTGAAGGAAATGTGATCTCCACTGGCAGAACAGAAGGCCTCACTTTTCCCAGTCCTGACAGCTCCTCACACGACTCAGCCTGAGCCGGACAGATGTATCTTCAGTCTGCCTTGTGCCCTAGGTTTCAGGTGAGCAGTTACTGAGACCAGAAGTCAGGCTCAGGTTTGGGCTGAGCCCAGGAGAAGGGCCACCTGCTCACTCTGCTGACAGGTAGGATAAAGGGACAGGCTTCCACTTCTGAGGAGCCAGAGCAGGATGAACTTATCAGTTAAGTGCCTCAGAGAAGGGAGGAAATGGTTGCCACACAGGGAGAAAGGAAGGAAAGGGAAGAGACTCAGCTTTCCTCTGATATAGTGAAGGGGAACATGGAAGTGAGACTCTGACTGTTATTTCAGTTCATGAAAAGTCAGTAGAGCCGGGCTCGGTGGCTCAGCCTATAATCCCGCGCCTTTGGGAGGCGAGGTGAGTGGATTGCCTGAGCCCATGGGTTGAATACCAGCCTGGGCGGAGAGACCTCATCTCTACAATAAATCAAAAAATCAGCCGGGCATGGTAGCGCATGCCTGTAATTCCGACTACTTGGAAGGCTGAGGCAGAAGAATTGCCAGAGCCCAGCAGGTCGAGGCTGTGGTGGCCGGGAGCTGCCACTGCACTACAGTCTGGGCGACAGAGTGAGACTCCAATTCAAAAAAACAAGTCAGTAGAATGCAAAAAAAGAATAAGTCACAAAAAAGCAAACAAGTCCCCAATGTGCCAGGGAGTAGGGTAAGAGACAGCGGGGAACCACACCTTGTCTCTGCCCCTGGGGAGGCACGACCCAGAACAAAGTGTGGCAAGTGGCAGCTCCTGCTCTGCCCCTTTAGCCAGACAGCCCACACCACACACAGTGAGCCAGCTCCACATAAAGCAGGTCAACAACCCCACATACATGGTCTCCTGTTCTGAGGATTCTGATCTGTTTCTGATTCAGTCGGCGTGTTAACCTCACGGGTTTTCCCATTTGGGGGCGGACTGTCCCCTCTGTCCTTGAATCTGACCTACTGAAACTGAAAGAGCCTCTGAACAGATCTGTCTTCAGCCTTTTCCCAATACAGTCCACCCTCCACCCCTCTGAAACCCGGCCCTAACGGAGTCATTCCACCTCTCCCTCCTATTTATAGGACAAGAGTTCAAGACTCCTCACCCTGGACATGGCAGGCTGTGCACATTCCAGCCTCTCTCAAATCACCTGCCCTCTTTCCCCACATCCTGTGAAGTCCACTTCAGCAGCATCAACATACTCCCTAGGCCTGGCAGCCAGTCTGCCTCTCGTCTCTGCTCAGCTTGCTCCCCATGGTTGTCTGAGACGGGGGCTGAGGGAAGGGTCTCAGCCTTGCTCATCTCTGACTTCCTCACGAGTGAATGAAAGGACACTCTGATGGAGTCATCCTGACCAAGGGAGGCGGTACAAGAGGCAAGAATAAAGCAGGCTGGAGCCTAGGGGTACACATGAAAAGCTCCCCCCACAGACACTATCCACACCGGCAAGAATGAATGTTCATAATAATTGTCTGAATCACACATACAGCATAAGTTTAATTACTTTCTGCATTATTTGGGCAGGTGTTTATTATTAGAAAAACATGTATGTGAAAGAGCTAAAATAATCAAAACCAGAGGTACAATGGAATAGGGTAAAGCCAGACTCCACTGGGGGATGGAAAGCATTCACAGTACTGGCTGCTCTGCAGCTGCACTGCCAACACCGGGTTAGCCAGGGGAAAACAGTCCTTGGCAGTGACCAACAGGTGATTCCAGGGCTAGCAAGGGCCAGTTTCCCTTGTACTGCAGCAGAATGAAGAGAGGCTCATCTGTTTCTGAAGGAATGAAGTTGCCACACACAGCCTGCAGTTATAAATGGCTCTTATAACAACAAGATGACATCTGTGCTCAGTTTTTAAGATGCATCATTGCATGTTTATTAAACCATTGCTCCATCATATTTATTTGGCTACAAAACAACTCCCAGCCCATAGTTCTAAAAGTGGTTTATTAAAAACTAAGCCTTAAACATTAATACTCAAAAGCACCCTTGAGAATCAGTAATAATGCTGCAGATAAAATGAAAGGGAATCAAAGCAGTAAGTCTTGGTGGGGCTGTGGCTGCCTTTCAACGCCTTCTTGTATGTTCAGGCAGCTGGAGTGGGGAAGAATACCATAAGTTTGTGGCACTGGGTGCCGAAATAGCCATCTTAACACGACTTCCTGTCTAAAATGCAGACACAAAGACAGGGAGGTGTCTAGGGCCAAAGGAGGCCATGGTTAGGCCCAGCGGGGGCCAGTATTCTCACCAAGAATAAAACCTCTGCCCCTAACCAATCCCATAGCTAATGCCCTATGCTGGGCCCAGTCTGAGCACCCATCCCAGACACAGATTCTGCCCTGCCCCTGGCACTAGGCTGATTCCTTGACCAAGAATAAGCCTCAAGTTCAACCTGCTAGTGGTCACAGTGAACTAGCTGGGCCTGTGAGCCTAGAGAAATGCAGCCTGTTCCTGGGCATGGTCCAGCACCGGCACTCCAGCCCTGCAGGCAGGCATTTCTAGCTCCAGAAGACTCTCTGGCAGAATGGTCCTTTCCAGCTTTCCCCTCAAATCCCCAAGCCTCTCCATGGATGCCATTCAGGCAGCAAGCATTAACACGTGGTTATTTACACCCACAACCCTGGTGGGACACACACACACACATAATTGGAGGATCCAGAGAAAAACCCATAGGATATGGTGGGGTGGTGGTCGGGGGGGAATGGAATTCCCATGAAGAACAAAACAGCTGAAGGATCCAGAGATGTTTGAGGGTTGACCCTACCTAACATATCTAATGGTTGACCTGGGCCAAGGGAGCCCAGGTGACTCTAACTACAAGGAGTCACAGGAGACAGTTCCCAACTTAGGGTGAAGATTTCCTCCAAAGCAGAGTCATCACCCTGCTCAGTCCCTCCTCTGGCCCGGGGTTCCACACTCACCTGCTGACTTCTTGCACATTGTTGGCACGAGCAGCTTCCATCAGGGCTGCATCTGAAGAGAGAGGGAGCACTGGTCAGATCCCTGGCCGGGACTGACTCCTCAGGGCTGCTTGGAGGGCCCAGTAAGACAGCGGAAGTACTTCAGAAATATGTGCTATACCAAGTGAACCGATGCCACAATACATAAAGAGACAGTTAACTTTGCCCTCCCGTTAACAACCTGATTTCCATACCTTTCTGTTACACGGCCCAAACTCTTAACTCCTTTCATCATACAGGGGGTGCAGGTACAATGCTAGCACCACATCTTGCCTGTGGCGAATATTCATGTGCTCTTCATGAGCTACACAGCTCTGCATGTTTTATATTACTACCATCTTTATTATTAACCATCCCCTGACCTTGTCCACTTTCACCCCCAACTCTAGTTCTTCAGTCTAGTTCTGAATCTTCATGTCACAGGTCACAAACCCAAAAGGAGAGACAGGATGGATGGGGAGGCGTAGGCAGAGGTTTGGGTGGGCCCCTCTCAAATGGAGACAGCTTCAACTAACAGTCACTGAAAACTGACTCCTACCCATTCTGCGATCTCCTTACCACATGGCTACGGCAGCCCCTTTCCTTGTCCACCACAGCTTCCCTGACTATAAAGCAGAGACTATAATCCTTGCCCTGTTAGCCTTACAAGGATGCCGAGGCAATGAAATGATGGTTGAAAAACCTGCAAACTCCCCATGCCAAGTCCAGCAAAGGGAGAACCAAAGCAGGTTTGGATTCATTGGGCCTAGCAGAAAAGCAATGCTGTTGGCACCACCTTGTGGTCATAGAGAAAAACTGCCTGACTCAGAAAATCTCAAAAGTCAACAGCAGAGGCACAATGAATGTCTTCAAAAAGTCCAAAATCATGGAGCCCTCTGTGTCCAGCCTGTTTCTGAGCTATGGGCACTGGACAGACTCATACCACCCAGCCCTCCCTCAGGGCTCTCTCAGTCCTGACAACTCACCCATGAGAGAGTAGGGTAGAAAGGGCAGGGTCTGGAGGTGGGCAGACCCAGGCTCTAATCCAACTCTGTCACTTGACATATGACCTAGCTAACTCACCTCAACCTCCTGAGCCTCGGTTTCCCTATCTCTCCAATAGAGATAAAAGACCTATCTCATCATGCATATGAAAACCAATTCTTGGAAGGCTGAGGCAGAAGGATCGCCTAAGCCCAGCAGGTCAAGGCTGCGGTGACCATGAGCATGCCTCTGCACTTCAGCCTGGGCAACAAGAATGAGACTCCAACTCAAAAAAAGAAAAAGAAAAAGAAAACCAGTTCAGTGGTTCACACATTGGTGCCTCTATCCCACCTCCTGGTCTAGACTCAGGTCTAGCTTACCTTACCCTGGTCTAGCTTACCTTACCCTACTGTTCTCAAAGCGCACACCCAAGCATGATCACACTGCCACCAGCTAGAAGGGGACCAAACTTTTCTCAAAGATGGCCATGACCACTGATCCCTCACTTTGCAGAAAAAACAAGCAGCTTCTGCAAGGTCACAATTTACTGAGGAATGAGCCAAGATTAGAAGCAGGGCCTCCTGGATCCTAAAGGGTTCAGTTTCTAATACACTACACCGTGGGCCTCAGCTCAAAACTTTAAGTCAGGGGACAAGATAGCTGGCAAGTCAGAGGGGCTGGAACTGGTCAAGATTTAGGTTATTATATATTTTGGTCAACAGACCCTGGAGTTCACATTACGAAGTCCAGTCTGGAGTCCTCAACCTCTTAGGCAAGACCTTGGTCACCTTTCTCCAATTCAGTCAAACACACTGGCCTAAGAACATTCCCTGCTCATGAAACTTCCATGGCTCTCCATCACCTACGGAAGAATTTCTACCCCACTCCCATCGGCTCTCATCTCATGCCAAAGACCCCATCCTCCAACCAAGCTGACCACTCTGCTTGCCCCCTGCACACACTGTGGTGCCCTGCAACTCTGTTATCTTCATTCCCTGAAGCCTTTGCACGGAATATCATCCAACTCAAGACACATTTAGTAAATATCTACTAAGTTCAGACACACCAATGGACAAATAATGTGCAGGCATTAGGGGAAGTTGCTGGTATCTACCTGCAAAAAAAAGGTAAGATGCCTTCCCTGCTCTCATGGGTTCAAAATACTGCTCCTTTTCATCTCCTGCCTCATTCTTCATAATTCAAGTTCAAATGCCCATCCTCCAGGGGTCTTCCTAGAGGATTCTCCAGGAAGGCTTGCTTGACCCTGCTGGCCCTCTAATCTCCCAACAACACATAGCCACGCACACTAACTACCTGCACTGTCCTCCTTGACTGATTGTGTGTTGTTAGGATTTCCCATACACTTAGTTCAAAATTAGGCACATAGAGGTTATCTAAAAAAAAAAAAATGCTTAAAGTTATAGAATCATGGCATGCCTAACCAAAAAAGTCCTTAGAGTCTCTTTCAACACCCTCATTTTGTAGCTGAGGAGGAGCAAGTGTCCAAATTCACAATGGAAGTTAAAACACAGAACCAAAACAAGGGCCCCAGTGTTGTCATTCCCAGTCAAAGCCCTTCCTTTACAGCTGGCCACATCCTATAGAGTAAACAAATCACAGTCAAAGTGGTCCCTACTCTTGCTCAAAAGTCTCAGAACTTGGGATGCATGTAATCTACAGGCACTGTGCCTGTCTTCTCCCTTGAAGAACAATTAAAAACCTGGGCTCATGCAGGTCATAAGTCTGGCTCTCTGCCCACTCTCCAAGCCCTGGCTCAGCTCCAAACACCCAGCTGAGAAGACAATCCAGATCAGCTCTTGGGTCTCCAGGGATCCAACTTCCTTCTCCTGCCAACTACTCCACATGGCAAGATCGCCTCACAGTAGGTGGATCTGGCACAGGAAAACCCTGGGAGACTGATGGATAGATGCAGGTCGCTGAATCCCAAGAGAGGTCAAAATGACAGTCCTGTAAGAATACTAAGAAATCACTCTTCACTGTGTAAGGAAAGAAACTCAGATCTGAGAGGAGCAAGGGAAGCAAGTATCTCTCTTTCTCAGGTCACCTTAGGAGGAAGCAATTTTTCTAAACCATCTAGTGGTTGCTCTTAAAACACCCCACGATTTCCTGGAGACCTCTTGAAAGAGGCACTGGATCCGGCACAATATTAGAACACAAAAGGATCATGCTGTAATATTAGGTGTTTAGTCCAATTCCCACAAAGTACAGATGGATAAAGTGATGCCCAAAGAGGAGAGGCTGACCCATGACGGGAGGCTACACATCTCCAAAGCGGTGCAACACCCTACCCTTGAAACCAGATGATGTGTATGTAGGCCCCTCCAAGATTGAGACGCCAAGGCTCTAAATCTATAAGCAACCCCCCACCCTCCAAACATCAGTCAGGGCACTCCTCTCCCCTCTCCCCTCCGCAAACCCAGAATGTCCCCATAATCACCCTTGTTGGAGGGATTCTTGCTGTAGCAATGAACTACCAGCGCTGTGGCGAGGGCCCATATGCCCAGCCCTGCTCTGTTGGGGACTCCGTTCCAGCTGTCCTGCCCCGGGAGTGTTTCTTCGGGGCTAGGAACACGTCCCCACGTGGCAGCCGCGAAGCAGTGAGTCTCTACACGCCCTTTCTGGCGCCCCGCGCTGGCTGCCCCGCGTCTGGGACGCGAGGCCGGCGATGTTCCAGGACGCCCCCCGACGGCTGCCCTCAGCCACTGAGGCTCCCCGCGACCCCCGGTGGCCAAGCTCGGACCGGAAGCACCTCCGTGCATCCGGAGCGATGGGGACCTGAGGAGCTGGAGGAGGAGCCGCGGCGCCGGCGCTTTTCTCCTCAACACCAAGGACCCCAGCATCGTGACAGCTACTCCGATGAGCCCCTGGTGCCGGCCCCTGTGCTGGCCACGTCCAACATGGCTGCCGCGGCGCGTTCGAATACGACGCGAACGGCTGGAATTGTGCACTACCTCGCGGGAGAGGTAGTCCACAGCCCTAGGTCTTCCGGCAGCTGGGAAACGAATAAACTACACTTCCCAGGAGGCGGTGGGATTGCGTCACAATGACCGCCGGCTTATAGGAGCCCGGGGCATGTTGGGAAATAGAGTTCTGGTAGAGGGGCGTGGCGAGAAGGAAAATGTCAAGGTGGGGCGATTAGAGTTAAAGATTCGAATCCCAGAACTGTTTTCCTGGTTTTGTTAAAACATACAGCCGGGCTCGGTGGCTCAGCCTGTAATCCCGCGCTTTGGGAGGCCGAGGTGAGTGGATTGGGTTCGAGACCGGCCTGGGCAGCTTGGCGAGCCCTCATCTCTACAATAAATCAAAAAACTTAGCCGGGCGTGGTAGCGCGCGCCTGGAGTTCCAGCTACTCGGAAGGCTGAGGCGGAAGGATCGCCGGAGCCCAGCAGGTCGAGGCTGCGGTGGCCGGGAGCGGCCACTGCTCTCCAGACTGGGTGACCGAGTGAGACTCCAACTCAAAAAAAAAGAAAAGAAAAGAAAAGAAAAGAAAAAAACATACAACGCAATTTCAGACCGGCGTAAATTAAACAAGGATCTTCAGCAGAGGCCTATTATAAAACTTACTGATTTTAGTCTATTTCTCTTTTCATCTTAGGACGACTTTTCAAAAGGATGTCTAGGGTAACCGGTGCGCCTGAAATAGAAATACCTTTTATTTTTCTACATAGACTTATTTTCGATTGAAGAGGTGACTCCGGTCTTGCTTTCTTGATTGTGTTATTTTCAAAGGGCTTTCACGTGGGCTAGCTTATCTGCTCCTCATGGCAACTGCTTGGGGAAAGCTGGACAAGGATTTTTATTCCAGACTACAGCAAAGGCAATTTAGGCTCAAAAGTGAGATGATTTGCCAATAAATCACCCGGATTAAAGCCAGGTCTTCTGACTCGGAGCTTTCCATTAACACCTAAAACCCTCATCTAGACCCCTCTTTCCCCAAATGAGCCCACTGGTAGGCAAAGAAGGAAGCTCTTCTTTGTGCCAGTTCTGTCTCTTGCAAATCCTTTAGGTCTGCTCAAACTTCACATTATCAGAGCCTTCCCTGACCAGTCTAGTTAAAATACCAACCCAACCCGTCCCATCCTTCTTATCCTGCCTAATTTTTCTTCACAGCACTTACCACCACCTCACTTTCTAAATATTTGTTTATAGTATTTCTCCAGTAGAACGTGAGGCCCATGAGACAAGGACTTTGTTTCATTTTTTTATCACAAGCACCCACAACAATGTCTGAAACAAAAGAGGCTCTCAAATAGTTTTTCGGTGAGTGGATTACTCTCACTTATTAGCACAGGGGAATAAATATGAGCGTTGTAATCTAGATACACCTGAAATTTAATTTCGATTAATTTTAGTTCTACTTTTGACTGCATTCACTACTTGTGTGATCTTGGACAGACATCTTTACTTCTCTGATAGTTAATTTGGAAGATAGGTAATAATTCCTACCTTCAAAATGATTGCTTGTTTTAAGTAAGATAATATGGCTGGGCTCAGCGGCTCAGCCTTGTAATCCCAGCGCTTTGGGAGGCCAAGGTGAGTGGATTGCCTGAGCCCGCGGGTTCGAGACCCATCCGGGCAACTTGGCGAGACCTCATCTCTACAATAAATCAAAAATTAGCAGGGCGTGGTAGCGCGAGCCTGTAGTTCCAGCTACTTGGAAGACGGAAGTGGAAGGATTGCTGGAGCCCAGCCGGTCGAGGCTGGGTGGCCAGGAGCGTACCACTCCATTCCAATCTGAGCAACGGAGTGAGATTCCAGCTCAAAAAAAAAATAAGATAATATGCAGAAAGCCCTAACACTGTCGCTGGGCTCACGGCGGGTCTTCAAGAAATGGCATCTATGGTTGTATTCCTCTGTTCTGGGTGTTCTTTTCTCTGGGAGTGCATTGGATTCCCCCATTCTAAACTTCCTCAGGGCAGAGACGGACGGAGCTTCTCATTTCCACACCCCTTAGTAGACATACAACAAATTGCTGTTGAATGAGCTGGGTGCAGTGGCTACAGGCAGCTGCCAGTAGCATTAGTCTTTGCTGAGAGAGGGAGGTAGTGGTGGGAAATGCCTGGTAGCCTGGGACACAGGAGACTTGGGCTTATCGCATGGTCTTGGGAAATTTATCTAGCTCTCCGGGTCCATTTGTACTCTTCAGCTTAGATATCCTGGTGTTGGAGTGGACCTGTAATTTCCAAACTCTTCACAGAGTACCAGAGTGTGTGGAGATGCCTCAGAGGCCTCTGTGATAGGCTAAGAGAAGTGGGCTATGATCTCTGAAACCCCCACACCTTTTCAATCAGATCAGAGTAATTCCATGCAATGTTTTATATGTTAGGATTCTGCTTAAGATTTCATTTGACAAAAGAAATCTTTTGGTCTGGCATGGTGGCTCATGCCTGTAATCCCAGCATTTTGAGATGCTAAGATGAGGGAACTGCTCAAGGCCAGGAATTCAAGACCAGCCTGGGCAACATGGTGAGACCCTGTCTCTACAAAAACAAAAACAAAAACAACAACAACAACAAAACTGGGCATGGTGGTTTACAACTGTAATCCCCAGTACTTTGGGAGTCCAAGGCATAAGGAGTACTTGAGCCCAGGAGTTCAAGACCGGCCTGGACAACATAGTGAGAACTCGTCTCTACAAAAATAAAAACAAAAATAAATATAAAAAAATTAGCTTGCCACGGTGGCATATACATGTAGTCTCAGCTAATCAAGAGGCTGAGGTAGAAGGATCGTCTGAACCCAGGAGGAGGAGGCCACTGTGAGGCATTGATCTATGGCACTGCACTCCAGCCTATACAACAGAGTGAGATCCTGAGTCAACACACACACACACACACACACACACACACACACACACACAAGAAAAGAAGCTATTAAATGAATGAATATTTTTAAAGTACTCAAAACCCAAAGCATTTTGATCTTCCTATTTTAAGAGAGTTCCAGGACATCCTATCTTGTTAACAATCCCATTTACCATAGCAGCTTCACCTTCCTTGTATTCTAAGAATATTTCTGCCTCCTAAATTAGGGTGGTCACAGCAGGAAGAGCAGTCTCTGAGCTCCCATCATCAATGGGTCACAAGACAGAGTACATCTCAGACTATGCAAAGTTCATATCCTCTTGCTTCAGTTTACTCAGCACTGCATAATTTTCAAAGCACTTACCCATTGATTTCCTCATTTGATTTTCACAGATACTATCTGTGAGGGGTTTCAGGAAATGTTTAATTATTAACGCTATTTGGTAGGAATACTGAAAAAGTTAAATGATCAATGTCTAACTGAATGGAAACACCTATTGGAATCAGAGGAGACTCTGAGTTAATTCTAGATGGTCAATAACCAATTCAAAAACCCTTTAGGTCACAGTTCTAGCACTTTAAAAGATCTTCAACCAGCCGGGTATGGTGGCTCAAGCCTGTGATCCCAGCACTTTGGGAGGCCAAGGTGAGAGGATTGCCTGAGCCCAGGGTGTCGAGACCAGCCTGGGCAACTTGGTGAGACCTCATTTCTACAATACAACAACAACAACAACAACAACAAAATAGCCAGGCGTGGTAGCGCGCCCCTGTAGTTCTGGAAGGCTGATGCGGAAGGATCGCTGGAGCCCAGGAGGTCGACGCTGGATTGGCTGTGAGTGTGTGTGCCACTGAAACAAATAAAGTAAATAGATAGGGACTGCATTTTTCACTGTTGGAGAAAGAAGTTATAAATAAGGAAACAGAGAAAGCTAAAATGAACCTTGTGCTGTTGAATTACAGTCAGAGGTATTGTGGCAGGTAGGGGCTGGTAGCAGTTAAAGGTATTTCCTTTTGAAAGTCAAGTGGCAAGCTCTAAAGACCCGCCAGGCTGGTTTTGCTTTTTTATTTTTTATTTTTTTATTTTTTGGAGTTGGAGTCTCACTCTGTCGCCCAGACTGGAGTGCAGTGGCCACTCCCAGCCACCACACCTTGACCTGCTGGGCTCCGGCTATCCTTCTGCCTCAGCCTTCCGAGTAGCCAAAATTACAGGCATGTGCTACCATGCCCGGCTGATTTTTTTTTTTTTTTT